TGCAGACCCCCAGGGTTCCCAGTTTGGGGGGGATTTTTCCTTCTTCAGATGTTGAGGTATGGGTTGAAGGTGGTTGGGTGGTCCGTGGTGGTGTCCTGCTGGTGTCCGTCCATCCATCCAACCCCATGTCCTTCCATCCCAACCCCATGGCATGTCCATCTATCCAACCCCATGTCCATCCATCCCAACCCCATGTTCATCCGTCCAACCCAACCCCATGTCCATCCATCCATCCCAACCCCATGTCCATCCATCCCAACCTGTGTCCATCCGTCCAACCCCATGTCCATCCTTCCCAACCTGTGTCCGTCCGTCCACCTCCATGTCCATCCATCCAACTCCATGTCCATCTAACCCAACCCTGTGTCCATCCCAACTCCATGTCCATCCATCCAACGCCATGTCCATCCATCCATGTCTACTCATCCAACCCCACGTCCATCCAACTCTGTGTCCATCCATGCTGATCCTGTGTCCATTCTTCCCACCTCCATGTCCATCCATGCTGACCCTGTGTCCAGCCATCCAACTCCATGTCCAGCCATCCAACTCCATGTCCAGCCATCTGACCTCCAACCCCATGTCCATCCTTCCCAACCTATGTCCATCCATCCAACCCCATGTCCATCCATCCAACCCAATTTCCACCCATCCCAACCCCATGTCCATCCATCCAACCCAATTTCCACCCATCCCAACCCCATGTCCATCCATCCAACCCAACTTCCACCCATCCCAACCCCGTGTCCATCCATCCAACCCCATGTCCATCCATCCACCTCCGTGTCCACCCATCCCAACCCCATGTCCATCCATCCAACGCCGTGTCCATCCCAACTCATGTCCATCCATCCATGTCCACTCATCCAACCCCACGTCCATCCAACTCCATGTCCATCCATGCTGATCCTGTGTCCATTCTTCCCACCTACATGTCCATCTATGCTGACCCCGTGTCCATCCATCCAACTCCATGTCCAGCCATCCAACCTCTAACCCCATGTCCATCCTTCCCAACCTGTGTCCATCCATCCACCTCCATGTCCGTCCATCCAACTCCATGTCCATCCATCCAACGCCATGTCCATCCATCCATGTCCACTCATCCAACCCCGTGTCCATCCATCCAATCCCGTGTCCATCCATGCTGATCCTGTATCCATCCTTCCCACCTCCATGTCCATCCATCCTGACTCCATGTCTGTCCATCCATCCCAACCCTGTGTCCATACATCCAACCCAACTTCCATCCATCCAACCCAATTTCCACCCAACCCAACCCCATGTCCATCCATCCACCTCCATGTCCACCCATCCCAACCCCATGTCCATCCATCCAACCCAATTTCCACCCATCCCAACTCCATGCCCACCCACCCCGACCCC